GTATTTTGAAAAAGGAAAGCGAACATTTCTAAACTGTTCACTCATTGAGCAATAGATAACAAATGTTGTACATGCGTTGCAAAGTGATAATAAATCCAACAGGTCACCAAGACTATTATAAATATGGCGTCGGAATGCTTCTGGAAGGATACCAGAAAGTACCATCATAATACCTTGTGGTAGTTCGGTGATTAAAAATACGCATAAAATTGTTAACAACATACGAGTGGTACGATCTGTTCGATAAACGACACTCGTATTTATCCTGAAATTAATCATTCCTGGATTCATAACTTATTCAATCGTACAAGAAAATATCATTTCAAGCCCATGGTTTCTAACCAGTAGTCCACGATGGTGGCAACAGAAAAAAAGTAGAAAATAGAGAATAGAAAAAAATAATGGAAAGTAGAAAAAATAAATCGAAAATAGAAAAGCTAGAAAATAAGTAGAAAATAGGTAAAAGATGTTTCTTATCAATGTTTACTACAGTAATACGATGAAAGTTTTGATAAAAGTTTATTTCCAAATTAGGATTTATCATTTTTAAATTTAATTTATCTCTGTTACAAATAAAAAAACCCAAAATGGTCCATGTTGTCAAGAAAAAGTTAACTCTTTAAACCGAAATCACTACTTTAATTTAATTCGGTGCAGCGATATTCAAATGCCAACATTTCGAGTATTACTGTATGGAATCAATCGCACATCACGGTTTTGTACCATGGATTATTTCACCCAAAGTTTAGTTTTTTTTTTCTCTCTCTCTTTTCCCTTTAAGCGAATTACAAATGGAAAATACAGAAAATGGAAGTAATATTTGAAAGCGAAATAGCAAATTATAATTGTTGGTAAATGAACAAAAATAGGAATGAGTTTTTTACAAAAATGCCTAGTAAATTTTGAATATTTATTTCGATCAGTTAATCAGATGATAGATTTGATTAAAATGACGTAGTGACGCATTTGTTACGTGTCAGTGACGCATTTGTTGCGTGTTAGTGACGCATTTGTTACGTGTTAGTGACGCATTTTTTACGTGTTAGTGATGCATTTGTTACGATACATGGAGATAGATGTCCAAAAAATAATTGGAAATTATGAAGAATGTCGAAAATGAAAGTTATATTACTTGGCACAACGATCAGTTGTTGATAAATGCGAATCAGTGGTATTTTTTCTTTTCCGCAATATTTCTTTTTGCCAACATATTTTTGATTGTAGTAATAAGTTGAATGATGTAAAAGTTTGACTCGATTTTGTTGCACTCTTGTTAGAATTTTCATCAATAGCCAAACAAGAGATGATAATAATAAGCAAGGTATCATCTTAAAAATCGTACCTGATATCCAGAATGCCATCCGAAATATCTAAAGTATCACAGTAATCATGAAATTATTTTAATTTGAAATTCTTTCAGGATTAAAAATGAGCGATAGTAACACTTAGTGATAATGATAAAATGAAAGTAAGGGGATTAGAGAAAATTTTATTTCTGATTGGAAACATAGATGAATGAATATAATATATTTCATATTGACTTTTTAAACTCAAATTTAGTTTAAAGGTAAACCTGGACTAATTAATTATTCTTTGTGACATGTATTATTTTCCTCAGCAAGACCAAAGAAAGTAGATGTATTGGTGCTAAAATTAATAAAATAAGGGTAAGGATTAGAGGAGGATTTAATTCTGGCACGAAAGATAGATGAACAAATTTTTTAACAGTTTATTTATCCTCATTTGTCAAATCTTTTTTTTAGGATTAAAAAAGTATCGTAATGATGATAGTTTTTATCTAACATCTATACGAGTTTTTGGATAATGATCCGAGTGATAAAGTTTTGAGAAAATATAAAATTTTACCTAAAAAATGTATAATACCTAATGAAATTTGAATTAAAATTAAAAGTTTATCCCATCTGAAATATCAATTTGAAGTGATATTTCAAATAGGAAAATTTTAAAAAGAAATAATTTTAAATTAATACCAGGCAATGTGCTTCAAGTGCCAAGTCAGAAACACCGGGTATATATGCAAATGCATCACGATTACCAATATCAGTGATATTACATGTTTCACTAAGCCTCATTTCGATAATTTTATAAGCAAGGAAATTTGGTGTATTCATCAATGTGACAAATAAAACAACAAATGCTATAGCCATGTATGAATGTCGCAGATGGATCTAAATGACAAAAATTTATTTAAAATTTATTTTGAACACTTTGAAATTTCAATTGCGTCTGATAAAATATCAAATTTTGTTATTTTTGTTAATATTTGATGTTAAAGTGCATTTACATAATTTATTCCTTCTTAAATCAGAATCCTTCTTGTTATGTTATTCCTTACAATGTTAAAATATTATAATTAAATGTTTTAGTTTATCAACTGACTCCAAAAGGAAATTAATGTATATTAGATTTTAGAAGTAATTAAGCAAAACAGAAATTCCTTCTTGGCAAATATCTGAGTAATTCGGTAATAAATTTTCTCATATCCCTACAAATACTTAAATACTTGAAATTTCATGATTCATCTACTAAATTTAAAAGTTCATTTTATTTGATGCATGTCTATGATACAATTATTGTGTTATTGTCATTTTCGTTTTCTCTGTTAAAAATTAAATAAAGCATCGCTATGTAACAACATTTCGTATATAGGACATCTTTTTTTTCTTGTAAATTGGATTTTATAAAATAATTAAATTTTTTACCAGAGTCATTAAGTTTATTAGATTGCAATAATGCAATGTATACTGAATATAATCATATATATATAATCTCTCTTAGGAAGGCTTTTACGATTATTAAAAATTAATTAGTGATTAGTTAATACCATTGTCTTGTTTATCACTGAGTATATGTAATAGTCGAATGATAATTTAATAACACGATAAAAAATAAGCCATTAAAAAGAGGAAATTGTGAAATTGTTGTTGCTTATATGCCTAATTTAATCGTTACAATTTTCCATTCATGGGCTTCTAAAAAAATAAAAAAGCTTATAAAGATTTTGTTTAAGCTATGGTTTAATTAAATTTTTTTAATCTATCACTATTATACCGAAATGGTTTGAGTGCAAAATTATTATATACCTGCATGACGTTGACCTTCCTTCTACTTCGTAACGTCATATATCGTATTAATGCTAGCATAACTGAAAGTTTAAAATTTACATTTGAAATACGGAAATAACTATTTCATTGAAATATGGAATTTGAAATACTTTGAAATATTTTTCATTGAAATAAGTATTTCAACAATTGAAATACGGAAATAAGCTTGGCTAATTTAATTGTTATCGTGGCACCGGAGCGATTTCAGAATATCCGGTATTTCATTACAGTACTTTATACCTCCTGAAAAGTAACTAGTTCACCAAATTATCTCTCATGATTTTTTCATTCTTTAAATTCATTTTTCGGTCTAGTTATTAGTTACTTCGGATCAATAAGTTTTTAAAGATGATAAAATCTTATCAGTGTTCGTAAAAGATTCAATGATATATTTTATCTTTCAACGATCACTTTCATATCATAATAAAGAAAAGCAGTTAAATTTCATTACAATACATTCATATTTAATTGATAAAATTAAATATTACTACTACTACTACCGTAATCAATTACTAACCCGATAACCAAATGCTACTGGAATGACCAATAAGTGATAAATGTGCATGGCATACTAGGAATATAGCCCAACCATAGCTCCATTGTTTTGGATGACAGTTGGCAAATGTTGCAAATGTATGGTGTGTCGTATATATCAAATTGGAAAACAGTACTACCGTATCACAACATGCCATTGCTGTTAAGGTCATATTTACCGGTGTGCGCATTTGTTTTCTAAAACTATTCTATCTGATGTGATATGATAATAATAATCATTTGCACTTAAAGAAGTAAAATCATTTTGAATCGTTCTATGGAAAAGAAAAAAACGATAATATTTTATTTTATTTTTTTCTGAAACAAGCTAATTTGCATATCTCTCCCCATTTTTCGTTTCTTCTTTATAATATTTTATCGTTATCAAATCTTTCAAATTAATGATTATCAAAAAAAAATAAGCTTGATGATAAATTATTGAACATTTTAAAAAGGACTTGAATATTCCGGCAGTTTATCAAAGTGATAAAAATTGATAAGTGATATGGTATGTTCTATTTCCTTCAAGCATTGCTATCAAGTTATCAAAATGAAATTTATCTTATTAATTTTTATTTCATTATTTCAAGTGGACTTTTTTTTTCGTTGTCAAATGATGACCTTAATGACCTCTCATTTTATGATTGCTTTTACTTTTTTTTCTTTTATAGAAATTTCTAACCGTTTTCAATGGGTTAATTTTTATTTATTTTTTATCATACATTGAGAGAATGTGACAAATAAGATGGAATGCTTTTTTATGGCTTATTAATAATTATTTGAAAGAGAGAAAAAGAGAAAGAGGGAGAGAGAAGTAGAGAGGGAAATAATTTTATTTTTTTCTTTTAAAATAAAAAGAAAAGAAATTTTCATGTATAAATCAATTATTTCAGTTCTTTTTTTTTTTTGTCTTTCTTTTTATCATTTCTTTCCATTTGTAGTTTTATTGCAAAAGGAATAAATTTTATTATTAATTAAAAAAATGAAAGCAATTTGCGAAAAGTTCAAATTGTGAAAGGATTGAATTTCTCTTTTTTTTTTTTTTTTTTTTTTTGTTATTTCAAGATTTCTTGAGAAATGAGCATTTTTTGAAGGCTAATCATTTTAAAGTATTCGATTGCATACTCTGATAATTTTATTCTTTTTTTTTTGCTATTTAAAAGATTTGAAAAAAGCTATGTTATTTTAAAAAAAAGGAATTATCTTTATCGTTAAATAAAAGTTGAAATTTATATTTTTTTGAAAAATTTAAACAGTTTTTTTTCTTATCAAATTGAATAAAATTTTTTGCTTACCTTGTAAGTACAACAATATTGCAAAAATTACACATAGCACCCAAAATGCATAATACAATAGATAAATATGTATGAATGGGACTATAAAATGTATGAATTGCATAGAACCAATCATACACAATGCTATTTTCCGGTAATTCAATAATGACAGTTTGACATCGTTCCAATGTGTTCATCATTATAAATCCATTAC